TGTTATGGTGCTTTTTATGGCCCATAGTGTAGTCCGTCTTGGTGAATGTTCTCTGTGAGCTTGAGAATTTGTATTTTTCTATTGTTGGATGTCAGTTAGATCCAATTGACTGAGGTACTGTTCAGTTCAGCTGTGTCCTTACTGATTTTCTACCTGCTGGGTATTGGAGTCTCTAACTATAATAATGGGTTCCTCTGTTTCTCCTTGCAGTTCTAGTTTTGCCTCACACATTTTGATGCTTTGTTGTTAGGTGCATACACATTAAGGATTGTTACGTCTTCTTGAAAATTGATCTCTATTATTATGTAATTTTCATCTTTTATTCCTGATTATCTTTCTTGTTCTGAGGTCTGCTTTGCCTGAAATTAATATAACTTCTTGGGCTTTCTTTTTTTTAAAATAACGTCATTGAGATATAATTTGCATACCATAAAACCCTTTTGGAAAAATTTTTAGTTGTGTTAAAATATATAACATAACATTTACCATCATAACCATTTTTAAGTGTACAGTTTAGTTATGTGTGTTTACTTTGTTGCGTAACTAATCTTTGGAACTCTTTTCATCTTTCAAAACTGTGAAGCAGGTTCACTGTGCACTTGTTTCCAACTTGTCTGAGTTCTGTGAGACAGAACATACTCATACATAGTAAGTTACAAGAAGCATGCTTTATTGTTTACAGATAGGCAGCAAAGGACAACAGAAGTCGATGATTCATTGTGAGTCAGTCCTGCAAAACTTGGAAAGCTGCCTGGGGCAGATGGAGTCTCAACCGCACAAGCATACTTGTACCACAGATGAGGGACCCCAAAAGACAGTTATCTGGGGTTATATGTCTTGGGGCCACAAGACTCACTGGCCTAAAAAGCACTGGAGGACATCCTGTTCTGGGTGGGTAGACTAGAACAAAGCCTGGACTGTTCAGCAAGCTACCCCCTTATCTCTGGGTGTTGCATTCCCAGTGCATTCTATTCTACAGTTAATCTTGAGAACTACACACTAGAAAAGGGGAGAACTGGTTGGTCCTAGACCACCCGGAGAACTGTCCTGCAGAACTGATACTCTGTACCCATTAAACAACAACTCTCCATTCTCTCCTCCCCACAATTCCTGGCTACCTCTGTAAATTTAACTTTCTAGGTCCCTCCTATAAGTAGAATTATAAAGCATTTGTCTTGTTGTGAGTGCCATTTCCCCCTTAGCCTGATGTCCCCAAGGTTTGTTATGTGTCAGCATGTGTCCGAACTTCTTTTTTAAAATGCCGAATAATATTCCATGTATGTATTTGGCTTTTTGTTTATCCATTCATCTGTTGCTTCCACTTTTTGACTGTTGTGAACACAAATGTACCATATGACTTTGAGACCCTATTTTCAGTCCTTTTGGTTATATACCCAGAAATGGAATTTCTGGATCATATAGTAATTCTATTTTATATTTTTTGATGAGCTTGACTAAATAGTGTGTCACTGAGCAGTACAGAGAACTCTTAATCTACTGTCACATGTGATCCCTTTAAGAGGATCTTAAAATAATGAGATTAATTAGCCTGTGTAATAGGAAGCCAGCTATCATCTATGGTCTTTTTGTAATAGCAACAGATATTTATTGAATATTTACTGGGTACACTGTGGTCTAGCAGGCCAGGCACGCTGGCTCACACCTTTAATCCTGACACTTTGGGAGGCCAAGGCAGAAGTGTCACTTGAGCCCAGGAGACAAGCCTGGGCAACATAGCCAGACTATGTTTCTAAAAAAATGTTTTAAAAATTAGCTGGTTGTGGTGTTGTGCTTTTGTAGTCTTAACTACTTGGAAGGCTGAGGGAGGAGGACTGCTTAAGCCCAAGAGTTTAAGGCTGCAGTGAGCTATGATCACACCACCGTACTCTAGCCTGGACGACAAAGCGAGACCCTATTTCTAAGGAAAAAGAAAAAAAAGTTGACCATCTAGCAAATATACTTGCTAAGACCTGGGTTCTCATGTGTAGCCAGTATGCAAATTTTCTCAATGGAGCAGCACAATTGTATAGAATGATTTGTTCCTTTCCAAGAGATGGGAAGAGTTAATTATAAGAGAATAATAAGCAGAGATAATAACAGAGGAAACAGGCTAAGTGTGAACATGTTTGAGTGTCTTTTTAGTGTAATGAAGTCAGATTCTGAAAGCCTGAGTATGTTTTTTAAATATGCATTTCTCAAATGTAGATAAATCACCTTTGCTTTACCTTATAGTCTTCTTTCAAAGTAGTTTGACATTTCAATTAATTTACCCGATATGTAAGATTATTGTTTTAAAAAGTTAGTTACTTCTAGTTTCTTGGACTAACTCTTGTATTTAGTTCCTCTAATTGCCCTTACTGAAATCTCTTAGGAGAAGGGTGTTTCATTTCCTTGGACCAGAAAAGCTCAATTACTGTAAAGTTGTTAGGTTCAGCACTCCATTTAACCAACATCAAAAGGGCCAGAACAAATACTTTTATGTACTTTTCAGTTACAAAGTGCTTTCTCATTGTATTTAATCCCAACGTTAATCTGAAAGTTATTATTGTATTTTTTTCATTGTAAGATGCAAATTTTTCATATCATAATCCATCTGAACTAAGAATACATTTTATAATTTTCTGTGGCCTGCGCGACTGCCTTGAGGGTCCCGAGAGAGAGCAGCAAGAGATTAAGGTAGACACAGACACAAAGACAAAGAAAAGCTGGGGCCAGGTGGGACACAAAGACAAAGAAAAGCTGGGGCCAGGTGGGACACTTTCCTCTGAAGGAGAAGAAGTGATCCCAAACTATCTCAGCATGTTTATTTTATAATGAAGCACAAAGAAAGTTGGAGGTCTGTAAGGGAGGCATAACGGAATTTTGTTGCTACCTAAAGGCGAGCAGTTCCACAGTTATCTTGTTGTGGCTAAGGCTTTATTTATGCTATGTGCACCTGGACGTGTGAGCATCTGAGTCACCGTTTCGTGTAGCAGGCTGCATCCCTTGCCTTTGGCTAGGACGTAGAGTTAGCAAGTGAGAACCTTGCCTATGAGCTTGGGGCCATTAAGCAAGACCTTGCCTTTGCTTGGGACCTTTACTCAAGGCCTGCTACAGTGACAATGTTCGTCTGCTCCCCACATCACATCCACTCCCGACAATAATTGATGGTGGTATAGTTTAATTGGTAGTGTTGTTTTTCTGCGTGGTACTTAAAATAATGGTTTGTGTATTAGATTCAATGAACTACTATATAAATTTGGTTATTATTATACTAATTTTACTGATGAAGAAACTGATGTCTGAGGACTAAATGACATATCCAGAGTCTCAGAGCTGGTGCATGGTCAAGCTGGAAGCAGGCTTTTGGTATCAAGTGTTCATTTTCTTCCCCAATGTACCAATGGTTCTCAAACTTTAATGTTATAAGAATTATCTGGGGAGATACACGGGCATCCAACGACCAGAGATTTAGATTCATTATGTCTAAGGCAGGGCTCAGGAATAGACATTTTAACAGTCCCTCTTTCCTAGGTTTGTTAAGAGGGTTCAAGGGTCACACTTTGAGAAATCCAGCATTATAACTTTAAGTATCAGTTCAGTCTCTACCTTGCTGATAGAAGCTCTGGTTGACACATTGCTATCAGTAGAAATGCCCTTCAAATGTTTGTTAGTGATGAGGATAAATTACTTGGTATTTCTAACAAAAGGTCTGTGAAACTCCAGAACAAAGTTATGTGGTGGCATTATCTCAAAAAGGGACTCTAGCTGGGTGCGGTGGCTCAATCCTGTAATCCCAGCACTTTGGAAGGTGGAGGCAAGAGGATTGCCTGATTCCAGGGGTTCGAGACCAGCCTGGCCATCTTGGTGAGACCTCGTCTCTACTATAAATCAAAAAGTTAGCTGGGCATGGTGGCATGTGCCTGTAGTTCCAGCTATTTGTAAGGATTACCTGAGCCCAGCAGGTGGAGGCTGCAGTGGCTGTGAGCGTGCCACTGCACTCCATCCTGGGCAACAGAGACTTCTATTCAAAAACAAAACAAAACAAGAAAGGGGCTCTGGCAGACACCACTAATCACAGAGGGTGCCCACAGTTCTTTTCAATACTGAGCTCTGGGATGCAACTTTTGGTCAAACACAGGTAAAACCTATTTTCCATCCCCTGCCCTAGGGCCTTCTGGACAACATTGTTTGTGAATTTAAGGGAAAATAAACATTCTTTTTTTTTCAGTAAAGCTTATAGATGTCAAAAGAGCTGTTTTTGCATTTTACCTTTGTTTTGCTATACTGCAGGTGTCTAGGATGTGAGCTCATTGCTGGGGGAAGGGCTTCTTCCTCTTTTGAATAGAACTCTTTGGTGGAGTTTTTGTTGAGGTGTTCTCTAAGACAGTATTGCTGCTGCCTACCTTGTAAGTAGGTAAACACTCTTGGTTGTTTGGTAAACACTCTTGGTTGCATGTGGCCACCTTTTCCATTAATATCATATAAAGCTAGAAATAAGATTCTAGTAAGGTGGATGAGATTGGAGTGTTTTCGTGTATTTCAAATCTTGTTCTGTTTTTTGTTGATTAGCTTGGGAATTGGTTTGTTCCTGACTATATAATATTCCCAGTAGTAAGGAAGAATTTATTGGGTATTCTGCAGTAGACATTTTTTTTCTTAATTTTATTACACTTACAAACAGTACATTTTAGGTAATAGAATATAAACCAAATAGATATTATTTTGGCCAGATTCCTGTGTTGTTTTTGGAGTTATTCAGCACTGGCTTATTTAGAAAATGTATCAGTCAACATTAGCTTCCTGGAGGCTTGAGGATTTGGAGAGTCAACTTTTTGAGAACACTATTTTATTCTAAAGGCTTTTAAAATCTTAAAATTGTCCTTTTGAGTCATCTAATCATAAATAATAAAGTAGCAGTCTTGAGTTAATGTACCGTTTTGCAGTGGCAATGATTTGAACATGTGGGAAATGATTTTAAAACTTGAATTTTCATTTAACTTCCAGACTTCTTTCCACAGGCCATTTTGCAACCCGTGTTGGCAGCAGAAGATTTTACTATCTTTAAAGCAATGATGGTCCAAAAAAACATTGAAATGCAGCTGCAGGCCATTCGAATAATTCAAGAGAGAAATGGTAAAATTTTTTTATAGTTTCAACTACTCTATTTTATATGGTCTCAAATGTACTTCCTTTTATACATTTATTTCAAGTTTAAAAGTCTTTAGCTAAGAGATTTAAGAGTGTAAACTTCCTGATCTATGTGTATTTCACATCTCAAAAAAAGCAGACTAGAATTTGATTAATGATCATTTAGATTCAGAGAACTTCATTTTCTGCCCAGCCATCATGTTTATGAAATTCAGTGTTTTTGAGTGTCACGGTTACAATTACTGTGGAGAAGCACAGTAATTGTAACCCTTTTCCTCCTGGCTTATCATTGTTAGGATATCTGTAGGAGACAGTAGTTTTTTTTTTTTTTGAGTTGGAATCTCACTCTGTCACCCAGACTGGAGTGCAGCGGCCTCTCCGTTCACCGCAGCCTCGACCTGCTGGGCTCTGGCGATCCTTCCGCCTCCGCCTTCCAAGCAGCTGGAACTACAGGTGCGCGCTACCACGCCCAGCTAATTTTTGATTTATTGTAGAGATGAGGTCTCGCCAACTTACCCAGGCTGGTCTCGACCCCCAGGCTCAGGCAATCCACTCACCTCGGCCTCCCAAAGTGCGGGATTACAGGCTGAGCCACCGAGCTCGGCCGAGACAGTAGTTCTTAAGCTTTAGCAAGCATTGGAGACAGAGGCCTTGTTAAAACACATATGGCTGCCTCCTAGTTTCTGATTTAGTAAGTCTGGAGTACTACTGATAATTTGCATCTTTAACAAGTTCCCCAGGTGCTGCTAAAGCTGCTGGTCCCGGATTCACACCCATACCGAGATCCACTGTTGCAGGGAAATGGGCAGATACGATCACTTCAGCATCGTACCGTTAGTGGAAGAGAAAAAAGAACGTATAGCCCTGTTTTATCCTCCTTGGCTTTCTATGTCTCCTGACTGTGCTCAAACTCACTTTCTCTCTAGCTCTTCCTGCTTTGTTCCCTTCTTATGTACACAAACTACATTTGATATCCTTACTCAAAACAGCTGAGTTTCTAACCATACTTCTTGTTGTTTTACCATCTTTTTTTCAACCCAGATTATCATCTGTGTTTCAGATTTCTAGCTCTGGTAGCCTCACCTTAATTCCTATGTATTCTTTTGCTCAATAGATTGCCACTGATATTCTTTACAATTGCACGTTTGATGGTTTGGCCGCAGAACCTTTCCTTTTATTGTTTCTTGAAGATGAGAGCTATAGTTCAGTTGTGTTATTTGCTTCTAAGGGTCTGGAACCTAGAACAATGGGTTTCTATTGTTGCCAGGTAAATATGAGAATATTGCATGACCCTTGTTGGGAAGTTTCCCCTTTATTTGTCCAATGTGAGTGGAGACTCTATTCCTTAGAGCCAGCCACCATTATAACCATTCACTAAAATCTAAGATGCTTTCCCTACCAGCTAGTAGAGCTGTTTTCTGTGGTTAGAAGATAATCCCCTAAACCCTGAAGAGTGCATGTGACACAGTGCTGTTACTTTGGTGGAAATAAGTTTGGAAAACAGTCTCTCTTTCTTTCTGCCATAGTTGGCTCTATAAAATCCTTTCCTCTAAATTTTCCTGAAATTATACTTTATTCTGACCTGTGCGTAGAGAATTTTAAGAATTATTTTATGTTTTGAGGGTATCAGTTTTGATAAAGGAAGTAGTGAACTTGACATTGAGCTTTCAGTTTGGAGTTTAACTGGAAACGTATTTAGACTTTAATAAAAAGGGAATAAATACATATAGCTTGATTTACTGGGATGTCTTAGCCTGCCGGTAACAAAACACCCCAATGAAAATGGCCTAAACAGTTTGAAATCATCATATCATAGAACAAGAAGTTCAGAGGAAGGGAGAGAAGGAAGATAGGTTCAGCGTTAATATTTTATTTTTATTTTTAGAAAGCAGGATTTATTGAGAGGACAGAAAAACTCCCACAGTGGGAGGAGACCCGAGGGGGTTGCCCCAAGGTTAATTTACTGGCCCAGTGATGTGATCAAGGACCCTAGCACTTTCTATCTTTCTATTCTGCCATTCTCAGAATCTTCTCTCATGACTGTACTCTGGCAGCATTGAATGAAGACTCAACAGTGTCTCAGGAAGAAAAGGGATGACTCCCCCTGTACATCTCCTTTGGTTAGCAAGACAATTTCGTGGACTCACTTTAGTTTTCTCCTCAGGTCCTATTGATTAGTATTGGAGTCACTTGCCTTTTTTTAAACCATCAGGTAGGGAGAATAAAACTACTATGATTGGCTTAAACCAATCATGAGCTACTGTCCTGGGATGGGGGAGGGCCCTGCTTCTAAGTAGTTCGCTACCTGATAACTCCACAAAACCTGGCTTACGTTATCAAGGGAGGAGGAAGAGAATGATGTAGAATAATGACTGCTATCACAGTGTGGGACAGTTTGCTTATGTTCAAACGTAAACTAATGCTTGGTTTCTGCTACAAAATTTTTAATACATGTATCTAAGAATATTGGTTAACTTAGATCGAAGAGTGAGTACCTATATCAATATTGATTGTAGTTCTCTGAACTGCAGACTGTTTGAAAATTGCCTTTGTGGTGAGAAAAACTTTGAAGGGTATCTTGATTCTTGGTTGTACCTTATCAAACAGTTTGGGGAAAATGCAAGTCAGAGCATTATTTTGATGGTTGTTAAGTACTTCATACTGATGTTTTATTCTTCTCTTAGTACTTTTAATTTTCCTTAGAAAGATTATTAAAAGAATAATAATTTTATACATTTTGACTGAGCAAAAATGCATTTAAGCTTGGTTGTATAGATGTCAGTTTTCTGGTTGTGATATTGTAACATTATCGTTTTGCAAGATGTTACTACTGGAGGAAACTGGGCATAGGGTACATGACATATTTCTGTATTATTTCCTACAACTTCATGCGAATCTTCCGTTATCTCAAAATAAAACATTTAATTTTTAAAAATGCGTGTAAACATCAAGGGGAATAAGATAATAAAGCAGATTCAGAATCCTATAGTTATATGTGAATAAAGAAATGGAAGGTAAAAATTAAGAGACGTTCTGCTAATGTTCTGGAATGTAATAATTATAGATGTAAACAGAACGCTTATTACCAGTCCACCTGCTACCAGCAAGATATAAGCCGGGCTCGGTGGCTCAGCCTGTAATCCCGCGCCTTTGGGAGGCTGAGGTGAGTGGATTGTCTAGCCCGCGGGTTCGAGACCCGCCTGGGCAACTTGGCGAGACCCCATCTCTACAATAAGTCAAAATGAGCCGGGCGTGGTAGCGTGCGCCTGTAGTTCCAGCTACTTGGAAGGCTGAGGC